CATTATGTGTTTACCCAAATGAATTAAAAATTTATGTCCACACATAAGCCTGCACATGCATGTTTATAGCAGCTTTATTCATAATTGTCAAAAATTGGAAGCAGTCATTATGTCCTTCAGTAGGTGGATGGATAAAGTATGTACATCCATATAGCAGAACATTATTCAGCCATAAAAAGTGAGCTATCATGCCATGAAAAGACCTGGAAGAACCTTACTTGTGTATTACTATGTGAAAGAAGTTGATCTGAAATGGCTTCATGTTGTATGATGCAACTATATGACATTCTGGAAGAGGCACAACTAGAGACAAGTCCATAGTGGAGAAAGGGAGAATGAATGAACAGTAGAGCACAGGGTATTTTTCAGGCAATGAAATTACTTTGTCTGATATTGTAACGGATGCATGTCATATGTTTGCCAAAACCTGTAGATATGTATACACAGAGTAAATGCTAATTAAAGGTATGGACCTTAGTTGTTAACAGGGTATCAATGAGTTCATCATTTGTAACAGGTGTACCACACTAGAAACTTTAATAGAGGAAAGTGTTTGGAAGGGGAAGAAGGCATAGGGGAACTCTGTACTTTCTACACAATTTTTCTGTAAACCTAAAAATACTCTTAAAAATTGTGTTAATTTGTAACAAATTAAAAGGGGAGTACTGTGGAGGCCTGCTTATAATAATCTGGTTCTTATATTTTAAAAAAACGGCTGCTCAACTATAAAATCATTTTGTACTAAAGAGTATTTTAAAAAACCGTTATCACCATAATTTTTTTTAACTGAGAAAAATAGCTTTTTAAATGCCAGATTTTACAAGGGAAAATTCCTGGGTAACCTGAATATTAGTGGTGAATGCTGGATTTTGAAGAAGGAAAATTAACTCAAAATTGTTAAGTAGCATTATGGTACTTGGATGAGAGGATACAATAATTTTCTGTTGTGTGACTACTTCAATTTTGGTCAGTAGAATTTGGAGGCAGTACGCTGCAGCTTGTACAAGCCTGAGGGGTATGTTCCTCTTGCCGGGACCCATCTCCACCCTGGCCCGTGCTCTTATGTTTCCTTTCTGTAACAACATACTAGTTGCTTAGACTGTCAAGCTCTTGTTTTCTTCAGGATATATTAAAGTGAATTTATAAATAGATTCTGGGCCATATAATTAATGTAGGAAGGCCTGAACAGTTCTTACCTCGCTCACCCCAATTGATCGAGTCTCTGTTGCCCAGGCTGGAGTGCAGGGGCATCATCACAGCTCACCGCAGCCTCAGTCTCCTGGGCTCAGGCGATCCTTCTGCTTCAGCCTCCCAAGTAGCTGGGATTACAGGCATGCGCCATCATGCCTGGCTAATTATTTGATTTCTGTAGAGATGAAGTCTCACTATGTTGCCCAGGCTGGTCTCAAACTTCTGGGCTCAAGCGATTCTCCTGCTTTGCCTCCCAAAGTGCTGGGATTACAGCACCTGGCTGCTCTTACATTTTAAAACTAGATTGTAGCAGAAGTTTTATTATTGTACTCTTTGACAGTTTATCAGATTTGGTTTGTGTAAAAAAATTTTGGCAAACAGACTTCACCACAAATTTGAAATTAGCTTTTGTTGTAGGACAATATATTGCACACACTCACCTGAACTTGACATATTATCTGGGTGATTTGAAGTCACATTACTTTGTTTGCCCGACTCTAACAATGGCATAGTTTAAATAACTGATAGGATGACTAGATAAGTGGTTGTGGAAGCTTTTTGAAAGTAAGGAATAAATGCTATGTGTAAAAGTGTTTCTGTGGTTTATAGGTTAATTCATTTCACTTAACAAACTTTATTAACTATCTACAATGTACTGATCATTGAGTTTGCAAAGACAAGAAGACATTGTCTTATTTAGTTAGTATCCTGATTTTCTGTTTTCGAGTCTTATCTAGGTGGAATCATTGATGGTCAGAGTCATGATTTATCCCATATCAACAGTGGTAGAATGTCTGGTCTAATATCAGTTACTTCTTCTATGTTTTATAGCACCTTGTGGTGAAACCTCTGGTGTAGTGTCTTTTGATGCAACACCACATGCTTAATCATTCAATTTGTGACTGGTTATTCCAGGTTAATAACATAGGCTAGGAACGCAACAATTTAATTTTATTTATTTATTTTTTTGAGTTGAGTCTCACACTGTCGCCCAGACTGGAGTGCAGTGGCACGCTCCCGGCCACTGCAGCCTTGACCAGCTGAGCTCCGGTGATCCTTCCAACTCAGCCTTTCAAGTAACTGGAACTACAGGCGCGCGCTACCACACCCAGCTAAAGTATTTTTATATTATACTTAGTTATTATATACTTGGTATATACTAATTACATTTAGAAGTTGCTTTAATGTAAGAATTAGGGCAGGCTCGGTGGCTCAGCCTGTAATCCTGTGCTTTGGGAGTTGGAGGTGAGTGGATTACCTGAGTCCGCGGATTCGAGACCTGCATGGAAAGCTTGGCGAGACCTCATCTCTACAATAAATAAAAAAATTAACTGGGCATGGTAGTGCCTGCCTGTAGTTTCAGCTACTTGGAAGGCTGAGCGGAAGGATCGCCGGAGCCCAGCAGGTCGAGGCTGCGGTGGCCGGAAGCGGCCACTGCACTGCACTCCAGTCTGGGCGACACGGTGAGATTTCAACTAAAAAAATTAAATAAAATAAAAATAAGGTAAGAATAAATGTGTAAATCTCTGAGAATTCAAAATCTAAGTCTGATGTTTGTATGTAAGTCAGGTATAGCTTATATATATATATTTTTAAAATTTTTTATTTTATTTTATTTTTTTTTGAGTTAGAGTCTCACTCTGTCGCCCAGACTGGAGTGCAGCAGCCGTTCCTGGCCACCACA